GGGGGGGGGGCCGGTGGGGTCCAAAAATTGTTCTCTAGGACGGACCCAATCGTTCTCTAGATGGGACAGACCCCACTTTTAAAGACGTGATTATAGTTTGCTACGTCCTTGACCTTACTAAGACTTTGTGAAAATGTGGATTTGTAAGAGCTAAATTTGCGGATTTTTTTTACAAATAAATATTACATTCCAAATACAATAATACAATATTTTCCGTAGTCGTAAAACATGCTTCTATTCCATTGGAGGAATTTTTACGATATGTTTATTTACCTAAATAATAAGGAAAATGCCGCAAGCTTGGTTTTGTTTATACAGTCTGAGAAAATATAAAGCGGAAAATGCTTCTTCTGGACTAAGGTTTCCATGCATTACAGTTCATCAAAACTATTCAATTTACATTTTGATTTATTTCAAAAGAGTATTTTTGAATAGATTTAACTGAGAAAACTGAACATGTGATGATTAAGCGGTAAAATATTAGTTTCCTTGGCTGTATAATGTCGTCTTCGTTTTTTTAGAAAAGTGAAACTCAACTGTTGCAACTTCCGGTTGATTTTAGATTTACCGGTCGCTTTACGTAGACTCCACGCCTTTACTTCTGGAATGTCTAACGCTGTTATCAATTAGTCTAGTTGCAATCTAATTAGATTAAGTTATCATACTGTTAAATGTAGGTTGGTATCGTTTTCGAGATATACTCGGTCTTAACAATTTCGTGGCACGTTGCTTATATCTCTTTAAACTAATCTATAAATTCTATAACTGATCTGCCTTGTGTTTTCGTAAACTATCTATATTACTATGATCATTTACTTATCAAACGTTTATTCCGATTACCGGGTCTGTCCTAGTGAACGATTTTTGGACCACCCTTCCAGGCCCCCCCTTCTTCTATCAGTTTTGTACATGACCATTTATTTTTCAGCAAATTTATTATTTTTTTTTTGTTATTTAGGGTTAGGTTAGGTTAAGACACTTTCTGGGCCGNCCCCCGGACCCCTCCTATCAATTTTGTGCATACCATTTTTTTAGCAAATTTGTATTGGTCATGTGGCCGCAGCGCTCGGCTCCCTAGCCTGTGCTAGCCGCAGCGCTCTGCTCCTAGCCTGTCCTAGCCGCAGCGGTCGGCCCAGAAATGAGCTTTACCTAGCCATAAATATACATTAATTTCATTAAAAATTGTTGATTCACAGAGGTTTTTCCTGGCCGCAGCGCTCGGCCCCCTAGCCCGTCCTAGCCGCACCGCTCGGACCAGAAATGAGTTAAACCTGACCCTCAAAATAATAAAAAATAAATAACAAATTTTATGGGAATAAATGGTCAGCGAGTGGGGGGGGGGTCCAAAAATCGTTCTCTGGGACAGACCCCGACCTGTTCCCCGTACCACCCTCACCTGTCTAATTGGAGAATATTTTTTCGACATAAGCCTTATTAGATTGTTTGTAAACAGTAATCGGTTTTAGCCACCGAAACCAAGTTTATTGTGTATTTAAGAAGAATTCTGTTTTGTACAGTATATAATTTCTCTTATGGCCCACCGTTAGTGCACATCGGGCCTTGTCTTTAATAACGTTGCGTCCCCCCCTGTCATTAAACCTTGTTAGAATTTTATTTTCTAGGCGTCTGTGGCCCATCTGGAAAACCACTACGCCGACCTCTCCAAGAAGCCCTTCTTCGCCGGTCTGGTGAAGTACATGGCCTCCGGCCCCGTCGTAGCTATGGTCTGGGAGGGTTTGAACGCTGTAAAGACTGGCCGTGTTATGCTGGGAGAGACCAACCCTGCTGACAGCAAACCCGGCACCATCAGAGGAGATTACGCTATCCATGTAAGTATAAATAGAAAATTGTAATGTTTGTTTGTCCGATCATAACTCATGAACTCCAGGACCGATCTGCCTCAAATATTGATTGGGGAATTTGGGATATCCACGGGAATTTCCTCTTGAGCAGGAGATGTAACTTTATTTCCTCTTGAGCAGGAGATGTAACTATATTTTAAGTTTTAATAGAGATTATATATTTAATCTGGTCATTATTCAATTTGCTTTAAATCTGGTGATTACATAATTGTTCTCTTTGATTTATTTTTCCTCTTTGTTATTACATTATTGTGTATTCCCAATCTGATTTCTCAGATCTATTATACACGTCATTATAAATTTTCCACATATTTTGACTTTAAAGTATTTTTTTTTAATTTAAATTTTTTGTTTAGGTTGGACGTAACATCTGCCACGGCTCTGACGCAGTTGAATCTGCACAGAAGGAGATTGCTCTGTGGTTTAAGCCTGAGGAGCTCACTAGCTGGGAACCTGCCCAGAACCCATGGATCTACGAATAGATGGAGTAACTTCAGTCCATAGAGCTACGAAAACCTGCGTCCATGGATCTTCGACAACAGTCCCTTTTCTAGATATCTAGTGACAATCAAGCCTGGTCTGAACACACAAATATGTAATTTTTAAACTTTTAAAAATAAAATATTTTCCATTTTATTCAAATTTTTTTGACATTGTCGAACGAGGAAAAATTTGTCAAACCCCAGTTATGGTGGTCTATAAGGTTTACATGCAGGGTTACGCACCAAGGATCAGACTTCAGAGACGACTCTACGGAATGTTTTCTTGTAACCAGTGCTTAGGATCCGGATCCGCAAGATTTTGGCTTTCTGGATCCGGATCCAAGGGGTAAAATATCGACCAAAAACTGCAAAAAAATTTGCTTCTATAACCAAAATCTGAACTTTTGTAAAAAAGAGATTATAAAAAATCTCATTTCTGAATGGTTCATCAAGTTAAAGTATAAAGGATCCGAATCCACATCAAAATTAAATGGATCCTAAGCACTGCTTGTAATCATGCGATTGTTTCAATAAGGAATTAAATATTTTGAGGCAGAGGACTTTATTTAACCTTGGGATAGGGATTGTTATTTTTTTGAGTTTTTGGTCGTCTTTACAGTCCATTCCTTGTGGATCACTCTGAGCCCGTTCTCTCTGTAGATAGTGGTCGTGAAGTTCACGTAATTTTGGGAACGATAGTTTGGCCTCTAGATGTCTCGTATGAAATCAGTTAAGAATTTTGCGTGAGACATCTAGCGGCCGAACTATCGTCCCCCAATCCCAAATTACGTGAACTTCACAACCACTGATCAAACATGATGCAGAGAACGGGCTTATCAAGAGTGGCTCGATAATTACGATATTTATCATGGTCGATCTGATTGTAGCGGAGAATTAATTTGTCATGGTGTATTTTTATACCTATCCCTCATTTCTCCGGAACTTAAGAAGACATTTTAATTCTGCATAGTGTGTTAAAACTAACTATGCATTTATCAACGAAAATTGAAGCAAACTAGCATTGAAAATTGATAAAATGGTTCAATTGAGACTTGAATTTGTTTGATATGATGAGCCTGGATAAACAGGGTGTCTCCATTAAACATGATGTTTTTTTACAGCCTTGAATCAAAATACTGAATTTTCAACACTCGTACGGTAAAATTTGCCTTTCTGTTTTTTTTTTCAATTTTACCTTATTACTTCGTGTTGTGCGGGGGGGGGGTATTTTGAATAATATAAATCCCTGTTTGAAAAATTTTGATGTCTTGTTTATATAATGGCCGATTTCTTAGACGTTCTACCATAGGTTGAACCATAGTCACACATTGGTTACGCTTTACCAGAGCAGTGTAGAAAGATAGATAGATACGACCTATAGTTGTACCTATGGTAATATGAATAAGAAATTGGACATAAGCCCTTTACTCGTCTACATGCTCGCTACAGCGAGAGGGAGGGAACCGCCGGACGCCATGAGCCTCTGCTATGCAGACACGAGCCTCCCAGATTTGCTAGACAGACCGAGCCTCCACTATACAGACCAAGCCTCCGCTATGCAGTGAACGAGCATCCACCATACAGAACAGCTCTTTTTTAACTCGTGATTTTTTTGTGTAATGATAAATGCTAACAATTTTTTTGACTAAGTGGCATTAGAATTTTACTAAAGATAAGATTTATTTATTGATTGGCATGATTTACATTTCTTAGGCAGAAAAAAAAGCTATTTAGAGAAATATTTCTGGAATAAATTCAGTTTGTTCTATTGTAATCTTTGATTTAAACGATACATTTTTTTGAAAAATTTAAGATTTAAATAAACTTGCAAATTTTCGAGATTTAGTTTGAACTACAAACAAAAGATACAAATTAAACCAAAGATTATAAAAGATTAAATGAAATTCAATTTAAATTTTTTCTCTAAATATTTTTCTTTCATATAAAGAATGTTAAAAATTTATATACCACTTTATTAATCATAATTATGAACTATTCTTGATAATTGATAAATATTTCCCATTGAGAAACCTCTCTTGTCATAATGTCAAAAAAATTTGAAATAAAGCTTTTATTAAAACTTAAAACACGAGTTTAAAAAACCCTTCTGTATTACACATTTTGATGTATTGCGCATGCTCATTTCTTCATAGCGGAGGCTCATGGCGTCCAGGGGTTCCCTCCCTCTTAGCGAGGGTGAGAAGTTGCACCACAGTTGAAATCTAAAAAAGTCTGAATTTTGAATATTTTTTTCAACTTTCATACAGGAAAAAGTAGACTGACTAATGAATTCCGCAAATACTTTCAAAAATAGTTTCGTCTTTGAAATGTCATGTTTCCTGGGACACCTTTACTATAAAAGAGAACCAAATTGATTTGTCAGAATATGGTGTTAATTGGCACACCTGTGAGTAAACGCAAACCCATGCAAAAGGAATTGAGTTTTTGCCACAACCTCAAATTTTCTAATTTCTATATCTCTGGAACTAGGGGGTATAAACCTTTGATATTTCAAACTTAGATTATTTGATCTAACAGAATTAATAGTTTGAAATATCTAAGGTCTACGACATTGGGTTGCTAAGATATAGGGATAAGAATATTTAAGTTTGTGGCAAAAACTCAGTTCCTTTAACGAAGTTATTCCCGCATATGTTGCAAATACGTGGCTTTGTGGGAAAACTGACAATTTGCAAATAATTAATCGTAACATTTTAATTCATAACGGTTAAGCTAGTTTCTAGATTTTACAGGATAAGCGAGATACACAGACAATCTCAAGGACAATCTCTTAAAACATTTTAAAGATTTTACAGGATAAGCGAGATACACAGACAATCTCAAGGAATAATAATGGTCCTAAAACATTTTAAAAAAATGAATATTTGCAAATTATCTTTTTTTCAAACTCATGATCTGTGTTCGTTTCCCTTTATTCCATTTGACAGCCCAATTTTTTTTTAAATAATCTTTTTGTTTATTTTCCTTTGGTTTTTAACGATTTTTTTATCGATCTTGATGGTTATTATATCGTTAGAACTGACGAGGGTCAACCCAGACCGAAATATATTTTAATAAATGTGGAACTTACATCTACTTTTTTTACTCTACAGGAGTTTGGTCCATCATCGAATTTTAATTCTTCCGGAACCCTGATGGATCCTATTAATTTCTTATAAAGTATAAATGCTAGAGGTTTCGTCAGAACTGCAACATACATAAATTCTAATATTAGTACATACTCTTACTCAAGAAGGAACAGGAACTGGAACTGTTACAAATAACACAGAAACTGAAATTGTTAATAAGAAAGGAACGGAAATTTTTACAAAGAAAGAACTGAAACTGTTACTAAAGAAGGTACTTGGACTGTTACCAAAGAAGGAACTAAAACTATTACTAAAGAAGGAACTGAAACTGTTACTAAAGAAGAAAATGAACCTGTTACTTGAGAAGAAACTGTTACTAAAGAAGAAATTGAAACTGTTTATAAAGAAGAAACTGAAACTGTTAATAAAGGAGGAACTGTAACTGTTACTTAGAAGTTTCAAGGAACTGAAACTCTAACCAAGGAAGATACTGAAACTGTTAATAAAGAAGAAAATTAAACCATTATTGAAGAAGGAACTAGAACTGGAACTGAAAAAGAAACTGAAACTATTAAAAAAAAACGATCTGAAACTGTACTAAAGAAGGAACGGAAAATTTTAATAAAGAAGGAACTGAAACTGTTACAAAAGAAAAAATAAAACTATTTACTAAAGAAGGAACTTGATACTGAAGAAGGAACTGAAACTGTTACAAAAAAAAACGAACTGAAACTGTACTAAAAAAGGAACGGAAATTTTTAATAAAGAAGGAACTGAAACTGTTACAAAAGAAAGAACTGAAATGGTTACTAAAGAAGGAACTGTTACTAAAGAAGAAACTGTTACTAAAGAAAAAACTGAAACTGTTACAAAAGAAGGAATTGGAACTGGAACTAAAGAAGCAACTGAAACTATTATACTAAAGAAAAATCAGAAACTGTTACTAAAGAAGTAAATGAAAGTGTTAATAAAGAAGAGAGAAACTGTAACTAAAGAATTGCAAATAAAACTGCTACTGAATGAGAAACAGAACTGTTAAAGGAGAAATCGGTCTGGTTTAAGATTTAAGATTTAAGGGTGGTTACATCTGAGCAACACTGAAGCATAAACTACCATAAATAATATTTTCAAATCTGCAGTTGATGTAAGAATCGCCAATAGGCTATCATTGGTAGCATTAAATTTCTTTTCTTTTAAAAAATATATTTCTTATATTTAACCTTCTCAAGAAATTTTTTTTTTTTCATTTCCAACAACGATTGGAAACAATTTGACTTCTTTACCAAACTTGTTAATTATGGAACTATTAATGTAATTTGTAGAGCTTTTGCAGTTCAGGTATTTAAAATTTGAAATGCTAAAAGTTTACATCTTCCGTTTTCAAAGATATAAGGATTAGAAAAGTAAAGTTTGATGTGAGTGATCTCATTGTTAAAAAAACATTTTGTTTGTTTGAAAGTATAACATGTTATATCAACGAACATTTTGTTTGTAATTTCGAGCAAAATGTTCACAATTCCGAAATACTTCTGAAAAGTTGGATTTTTAGAACAACATTTTAGAGCCTTTCTTTTAGTACAGTCTCATTGCAATCAAAATTTCTTTTAAATGTATCTATAATTTATTAAAATAATAATGTTGAAAATTGTGTAGAAATCTACAATAAAGCTACAAATCTTGAAGTCGTTAAGCTATCAACAACACGTGTATTAAGCTATCAACAACACGTGTATTTTTGGTCAACGAGTTAGAGTTGTAAAAGAGAAACCTTGTGATCTTAGAGTATCAAGATTTCTAGAGATCTCAGTTTAGCAAGGAAGCTGCACTAGGATTTTAGAGTTTCAAGATTTCTAGAGATCTCAGTTAAGCAAGGAAGCTGCACTAGGATTTTAGAGTATCAAGATTTCTAGAGATCTCAGTTTAGCAAGGAAGATGCACAAGGATCTTAGAGTATCAAGATTTCTAGAGATCTCAGTTAAGCAAGGAAGATGCACAAGGATCTTAAAATGTCATGATTTCTAGAGATCTTAGTTTAGCAAGGAAGATGCACAAGGATTTTAAAGTATCAAGATGTCTAGAGATCTCAGTTAAGCAAGGAAGATGCACAAGGATTTTAGAGTATCAAGATGTCTAGAGATCTCAGTTAAGCAATGAAGATGCACAAGGATTTTAAAGTATCAAGATGTCTAGAGATCTCAGTTTAGCAAGGAAGATGCACAAGGATCTTAGAGTATCAAGATTTCTAAAGATCTCAGTTAAGCAAGGAAAGCGGCGTAAAAATAATCAATTTGCAAAGAATATTTTTTCGATTAGTCATAAACTCTTATCGGCAAAAAAAGTTTGCGTAATATTTCTATTTTGCAAATTATGCATTAAGTAAACAAATTGTCAGTTCAATTAAAAGAAAAATTCACCTAAGGTCTGCACAAAGTACAGAAATATGCATTAATTGAGAAATAAGGGAATGTTTTCTTTCTTCAGAACAAAACCCTGTAATCATTTGGTTCTTTGTTTTATATATATCTCTTATACTTAATCTTTTCGTAGTTCTAACTGAATGGTGTGTGTATATATGGCTGGGTGGCGGACTGCCTGTATGAAGTTCTGCGTGCTGGGTACAGTACCTAGAGAAACCGGAGAGCTCGCCCCCCTCTATACTCTCTAGTACTAGGAGCAGTCCAGTTCCAAACCGTCCAGGTTTAGGTTCCCATCCATCATCAGTTGGAACCTAGCTTCGTATACATAAACTACCTGTAGAGTTTACAATAGTATTGTATACCCTGAAACTCGACTGAGTCGGATATTGTATGAATATTCTCAGTGATGGATATCTGTAAATCAGAGAAATTCTTGGTTAGGAAAACCCATGTGAAGGTTCGGTTTTAGTCCTAGCTCCAGGTTGGGTTTCATATCTAGACCCTAAGATAAATGTGAGATGCCTGGAGGAGAGGAATATTTGGTTGCTCTGGGTCACATTCCAGTAGAGGAGGAACAGGGGGCTGGATTAAACAAGAAGAAGGGATTATGGAGTGGGATCAAACAGATCTTCCATGCCAAACCTCGGAGGACATCACGTCATCCTCGGAGGCAGCTCTCCAGTGACTTGTCCTCCATGAGCTACTCCTGCCTCGGAGAGGCGAGGAGGGACGAGGAGGAGGAGTATATGAGGAACCAGGCCGCCAGGAGACTCTCTAGAAACCTCTCCTTGAGTCATGAGAGCGTGTTTCAGATAGAACCCAATCTTATTCAGGTAGGGATTAAGAAACATGATAAAGATATATAGTTTATCCAGGTACTTATTAACATATATGATAAGGATATATAGATTATCCAGGTAGGGATTAATATACATGATATAGATATATAGTTTATCCAGGTAGGGATTAACATACATGAGAAGGTTATTTAGTTTATCTAGGTAGGGGTTAACATACATGATAAGGATATATAGTTTATCCAGGTAGGGGTTAACATACATGAGAAGGATATTTAGTTTATCTAGGTAGGGGTTAACATACATGATAAGGATATATATAGTTTATCTAGGTAGGGGTTAATATACATGATACGAATTTATAGTTTATCTAGGTAGGGGTTAATATACATGATAAGGATATATAGTTTATCCAGGTAGGGGTTAACATACAGAGAAGAATATCTATTTTATGCAAGTCAGGTATTCGACCCCATTGTTCGGGTTCAGGCACAAAAATTGTACAATATTGTTTATTTCTTGAAAGACAGGATAAGTTAAAATTAAAAGTTAATTAGTATTTAAAAGAAGAGCAAAGATTTTATAAGGGTGGGAGAGGTTTCGCTAGTTCTTTCCTCTTTATTTCATTAAATGCAGTCTTGTTATTAATTAAAAGTGTTGGCGAAAAATTAAAAAATCAATTTCTGACCTATTCAAGATGTGGCATTTACACATTTTTCATGCCTAAAAATATCCATTAAAACCCGAAAGAAAGGTCATTTGATTTGAAAGTAGCATTTGTAACTGCAGCAGAGTCTAGATCAATAAAGTTTTATGTTTATTGGATCTCACGTATCAAACGTACTAGTATCATTTTTACGTCTAATGTAAACCGAGATTTTAAAATTTTAGCTATTAAACCGTTTCTCTAAAAGATGCAATTTTCCTTCGTAAATCGTATTTCGTGGATTTTTCTCTTTGAACTTATGCTTTTTAGAAAAATGATATATGTCGACATTTTTTTCGAGCAAAATTATTCAACTTGAACCATTCATAAAATCCTGTCGGGGGGTTCGTGAGTTGCCTCAAAAAATTTAGGTCTGTTCGGTTCAGCCGTTTTATAGAAATTTAATGGACAGACAGGCGAGCAAGCAATATATTTATGTATAGATTTCTGTTGACTTAGAATATTAAACTTAATTAACTACTAATTGAAATATCATTAATTTGAAAAGTTTGGGGGATTTAGTTAGGATAGAAATAACACTGTTAACTTATTCTAATGATGCGAAGGCGCAACTAGGGGTATAGAAAGGGGGCGGGGGAATCTTAGCACTTTAAAAAGTGATTAAAAAGTCTACAATTTCGTCCATTTTGTAAATAGAAAAATATAGAAGTTGTAAAGGGGCATATCTTACAATAAAAGAAGCAATCAAGGCTAATCAAGGAAATCAGTGGAATAATTGTATAGAATAAATAAAAAGAATAATATATTTGGATATTTTTTCTTTAGAGAGAGNATACAATATTCAGACTAATGCACAGGATGATAAATATCTAACATTTCCTAATTTATCTGATACAATATTCAGACTAATGCACAGGATGATAAATATCTAACATTTCCTAATTTATCTGATACAATATTCAGACTAATGCACAGGATGATAAATATCTAACATTTCCTAATTTATCTGATACAATATTCAGACTAATGCACAGGATGATAAATATCTAACATTTCCTAATTTATCTGATACAATATTCAGACTAATGCACAGGATGATAAATATCTAACATTTCCTAATTTATCTGATACAATATTCAGACTAATTCACAGGATGATAAATATCTAACATTTCGTAATTTATTTTTATCATAAGTTTTGCGAATGAATATTTAAATTGTAATTCTATTTTTAGTTAAAATTTTATTAATTTTGGTGGTTTCAGATTTAGCACTTTCCAATAAAAAGAATGTTTTGAAATCTTAAAGAAATTTCTTACTCATAAAGAACTCTGATTTTGTAATTACTAAATCCTTGTACCCTGATGGTGTTAACCTTAGATATTTCAATCAAGCAAAATAAAATGTATATATTATCGAATGTCTACGACATCCGGTTGCCAAGAATTAAGGATTGGCCAACTAGAGTTAGTGACGAGTAATCAGTTCTTTTGTTCAGAAGTTTTGAAGTCACGGTTTGTACAGGTTTAGTAAATTTGTGTAAATATTCCAGGAAAAGTGTCAATTAGTTATTTCTTGTTTGACCCTTGCCATGCACTTGGTAGAAGATTACATCAATAGGAAGTAGGTAGATAGATAGATAGATAGATAGATAGATAGATAGATAGATAGATAGATAGATAAAAGAGACAGATAAGGTAAACCACGAAAACTAACTGAAAAGTACCGGGTTATTAAAAAATAAAGCAAGTTTAATGACGTCTTAAACGTGGTGCATAGTAAAGGAGGCCGTACCATTGTGTAAACAAAACATCTATGGGTGGTTGACCTCTTTTAAAAACATGCAGTGTTGCATTGCCAAGAAAAGGTAATTCTGTAAAACTAGAAGATAGAACTTCTGCCTCGTTGAACTTCGTAATACAATAGCGTGTTCCATGGTCTTGTCTGTCTCGTTATACTTTGTAATATAATAATGTGCTGCATTGTCTGGTCTGTCTCGTTAATCTTCGTAATATAAAAACGTTCTGCATTTCTGGTCTGTCTCGTTGAACTTCGTAATAATATAACGTGCTATATTGTCTGGTCTAACTCGTTAAACTTCGCAATATAAGAACGTGCTTCATTGTCTTGTCTGTCTCGTTGAACTTCGTAATGTAATAACGTGCTGCAATGTCTGGTCTATCTCGTTAAACTTCGTAATTTAATAATGCTGCATTCTCTCGTTTTGTAATATAATAACTTTCTGAATTTGTCTCGTCTGTCTTATTAAAGCAAAAGTAATAGATAATGATCATGTAATAGAGATAGCAGCAAGTTGTTTCTCACAGAAAAGAAAACTATTTTTACTTCCGGTAACTCTGATTATTACCGTTCTTAAAACCGGATATAGTTGATTAACACAGGAAGTTAGAAGAAGAATGATTTTCAACCTGTTGTTAAAGAGCAAAAATAAAGACTTTTTTGAAGAAATAAAAAAAACACAAATCTAAATATGGCAACTGAGCTGAAAACTTTAGAATTGTGGATACCGAGATATATGCTTGATCTCCTTTTTTAATTTATCTCAAGATTAATTAAACCTTTAGTTTGTGTCCTGGAAATTGTTTAAAATTCAACCAATCAGAGTGTTGATTGCAGAATTCGAACAGCCAATCGGAAGCCAAGAAATTAAAAAAAATTGCCCGCGCAATTAATGAAAGAACTCTTATTGGTTGCAATCCATCAAGGAAGTCCAGAAGAGAGGATTAAGCATAAATTCAAAAGTCTCGATAGTGGATACAGAAATCAGGATAAAGGGTTGTCAGTTCAGAGCTGGGAAATTTAGAATGGGATACCATTAATCCCGACTGCTTAATCCGAATATCCAATGTGGACACTTTTAATTTCTTGCTTAATCCACTCTTTTTTGGATTTAGTATATAAAAATCAAAAACCGTTTTTAAAATTGAGAGTCCTTCCCGTTTCTGTATATTAACTATATATAAATCTTAAATGGCGCGCTAAATTTCAAATTTATCGGCTTCTTTTTACGCGACTCTGATTGGTTGAATTTTATACACTTTTCAGGATACAAGTACAAGGTTAATTTTAATTAAGATAGTCTCGAGATTAGCAAAAACAGAGGATTAAGCATTAATCCTGATATCCACCATTCTAAAGTTCCCAGCTCAGTTTAGATATCTATTTTGTGTATAAATGCATAAGGATATATAAATCATAATATTAGTAATGATAAAGCAACTTGTTTGATCGGTAAAGATAAGGATTCTTAATGGAATTGAGTCTTTGCCACAACTCTGATTTTCTATTTTTATATCTTTACAAACAAATGTCGTGGACCAAGGATATTTCAAACTAGGAATTTTGTTGGATAAAATAATCTAAGGTTGAAATATAAAAAGCTTACAGGTTTAAATGATATGGTGATTAGAAAATTGGGATTTGAAGCAAAGACTGAATTTCTTTATTTTAAAGTTTCTAAACCGGTGGAACCAAATAAACTTTGGAAAGGAAACATATTTAAACTTTTCTCCTTTTACAGAGATTTAAATTATTGCAAAGGAGTTGAGTTTTTGCCACAAACTCTGATTTTCTAATCTCTATATCTTTGTAACCCAATGTCGTAGAGCTTAGATATTTCAAACTATTAATACTTAAAGATAAAATAAGCTAAGTTTGAAATATCAAAGGTTTGCACCATCAGGTTTCAAAGATATTGGGATCAGAAGATTTGAGTTTGTGGCAAAAACTCAATTCCTTTCTAGCTTTATTCTTGCAATTGGGTGGGAGTGGGTTTTCCAGTTCACTTTGAAATGTCAAATTTCTCGAAAATAATTTAGATTTTTCTCATTTAAAGGTTTGGACTTTTTATCGACTAGAAGTCTTTTCAGAAATAATTAAACAGAATTTTAAATGCGATGACTTGAAATGACTTGACTCGTAGCAACAGCAAGGTGTTTAAGGTGATAAAACAGCAATTTCAAGTCATTCATCATTAATAGACTGCAGGCATGTCAAATTAATTACTTTAAATCGTGTAATATCTTTAAAAGCGATTTTGTTGCACCAGAGGCAATAAAGGAAATTATCAGAATTTATCACTTTTCTAAATTGTAAAATTATACAGTGAAACCTTAATAACAAATACATCGAAAGAATTCATCAAATGTCGTATTCTTCACTTTCTGATAATGGAATTATGCAGATATTTAGTTTTTTTAATTAAATAATTATATGAAACTCTTTAAAACTGTTCCCGTATATTCATGTCTATATATTTATTTTCGCAAATACTGAAATTTACGTAATATAGTATAAAACTCATTGAAAAATTGTCAAGAAGACGTTTGATAAATTCTTCCGATATATTCGTTATTAAGGGTTTCACTGTATGATCGGGGCGATTAATCAGTCCGGTTTCAGTGCTGTTATCAAAACCTAAAAACAATTGTCAAGACGAGATCTGATAAATTCTTCCGATGTATTCGTTATTAAGGGTTTCACTTTATCTTCCTCTGTGTTACTCAGATGAAGGTTTAGTTTATACCGTTGTGAATCAGACATACCTTACTATGCATACAGTCCCTTTAGTCGGGGTTAGGGCGGGTTAAAATACTTAAAGAAGCGTCTGTGGGGTATTATAACGGATACGGGGATAGGGTTAGGACCTTCATGATGGAGTTACTTGGGTGGATAAATTTTTAAGGAGACATTTTGTATGTATCAGAGATATTACAGTACTCAGAAATACACTTGGAGAAATTGAAGTTTTTCAGCTCTTATGCAGGGTTAGGATTGATAGTCTACAGTTATAAGGATAAGGTGTAAGGATTAGGACGGTTATCGCGAAGTAAGGACAGGTATAAGAAGTTGGACGAATATAAGAAATAGGATGTATATTAGAAGTAGGACGAATACAAGAAGTATATCGTATATAAGAAGTATATCGTATATAAGAAGTAGGACGAATATAAGAAGTAGGGCGAATATAAAAAGTAGGACGAATATAAAAAGTAGGACGAATATAAGAGGTAGGACGTATATAAGAAGTAGGACGAATATAAAAATTAGGACGAATATAAGAGGTAGGACGAATTTGAGAAGTAGGATGAACATAAGAAGTAGGACGAATATAAAAAGTAGGTCGAATATAAGAAGTTTGGCGAATATAAAAAGTAGGACGAATATAAGAGGTAGGACGAATATAAGAAATAGGACGTATATAAGAAGTAGGACGAATATAAGAAGTATATCGTATATAAGAAGTAGGACGAATATAAGAAATATGACGTATATAAGAAGTAGGACGAATATAAAAAGTATATCGTATATAAGAAGAAGGACGAATATAAGAAGTATGGCGAATATAANGGTTGGAGATAAGAGGGAAGAAGAGCAGGGAGAGGGGGATGGATGGTTGATAAGAAAATGTGGAAGCACAAAAGGGAGATGGGGTAGTAGACTTGTAAACCAGCTTGTTGTTAGAACAAAAGGGAATTGGGGTAGTAGACTTGTAAACCAGCTTGTTGTTATAACAAAAGGGAAATGGGGTAGTAGACTTGTAAACCAGCTTGTTTTTAGAACAAAAGGGAGATGGGGTAGTAGACTAGTAAACCAGCTTGTTTTTAGAACAAAAGGGAGATGGGGTAGTAGACTTGTAAACCAGCTTGTTGTTATAACAAAAGGGAAATGGGGGTAGTAGACTTGTAAACCAGCTTGTTGTTATAACAAAAGGGAGATGGGGTAGTAGACTTGTTAACCAGCTTGTTGTTATAACAAAAGGGAGATGGGGGTAGTAGACTTGTAAACCAGCTTGTTGTTATAACAAAAGGTAGATGGGGTAGTAGACTTGCAAACCAGCTTGTTGTTAGAACAAAAGGGAGATGGGGTAGTAGACTTGTAAACCAGCTTGTTGTTAGAACAAAAGGGAGATGGGGTAGTAGACTTGTAAACCAGCTTGTCGTTAAGACAAAAGAGGGTTTAGAATTTTTAATGAAAAACTTAATGCTAATTGTTAAATTCAAAGCTATGCGTATAAATTGTAGACACTGCTAATCCAGAATTAAAATTGAGTGCACAGTGCACACTCCTTCTAATCGGTGTTTAAATACCTATATTGAGCGCGGGTTCTGATAATCATGATTTATTTTGAGTGTCTGTAATTTTACGCCGCTACGTCTGCGTATTTTTGGGTGTGGCTGAATACGCCTCTTTGTTATGGTTCGTCCTATCCGTCCTTTGCCAGAGAATTAGTTATTTTTCAAAATATTCACAGGAAATTATTATTTTGCTTTGCGACCTTTAACCTTTCTTCTTTTATAGTTTGAAGGTTTAAAGTGTTATTTTGCAGACGGAGTTTTTTTTTTAATCCTTAATTTGTGCTATTTTTGCATCACGAGTTTTTTAAATAATTTTTGAATCAGAATTTTCTCAAAAAAAGTTTTATTTAGAACGTACGGTAGACATGGTCTAAAGATTACAGTTTCTTAGAAGTAACACACATAAACCTTGGGTTAGAAGAGAAACTGAACCTGTGGGTTCGGAGAACCCAGTCTTAAACTATGTACGGAGAAACATGCCCTTAAACTATATACGGAGAAACAAGTCGTAAAATTCAGGGGCTCAGGAATTCTTTAATCCTAGAGCCGTCTTTAACTGCAACTCCTCCAACCTGTGATGTTTATTTGAAGAAAGTTTTATAAGGAGTTGTAAAGTCGTCTCCAAAAAAAATCATCCTTTGGAAAGTATAATAAAAAATATTTACTTATGTTAAACACGTTTCTGTTCATATTAATAATAAGCTTCACCATAATATTTCATGTAATCTATCATTA